CTTTCTAAATAAACATCTAAATTATTTCTACATCTACTCTCTGGAATTAAATTTTACAGAAATTAAAAATTGTATGTAGCATATATATATATATATATATTTAAAATAATTTTTAATTAACTCGTCAAAAAAGTTTTGAAAACTATCAACAGTATAATTTAAGAATAAAAAATTGAGGATTAAAATACATGGTTTGTTCAGCAGACTATCCACAAAAAATCGCGCTTTCAGTAATAGCAGTTTAATAGAGTACCTAGACGGGGGAATCCCGTATACTCGTTCATCGACCTAAGATTGTGAAGTCCCGAGAAAAATCAAGGCCACTAATTGACCGTTAATGTATCTCTTAGACAAGCAAGATTTCAAGTTTCTTCAAGCTTCAACCGATTATTCCGGTATCTGAGTGTAATTAATGTTGGTCAATGAATGTCATCTGAAGATGATTATATACATCGATGACGACAGTTTGAGAAATGATGTCTTGAATACTTATGCAACAGTGGAATGCAAGAAACTCAAAGGTGAAAAGGGTTAATAATTAAAAACGTGTTTTTATCTTTGTATCTTGAATGCTGGATTTTACGTGACTTTTCTAGATTTTGTTCTGTTAAGAATAAAATGCCCAAAAGATAATGTAAACGACATGTCGGACAATAATTATGTATACAGAATTGGTACTTCCGTTCTCCGTAAAAATCTTCACCGTGCTTTTGTGACTATGCCAATCGTTAAACTCAATTGTTTGTACAATTTCTTCAATATTAATTAATTAACTATTAGGTTAATAATCTATTTTTAATTTGATATATTAAATGTTATAAGCTTAATAATGATAATTAATCTAAAAATTAATAATTAATTAGTTAATCGTCGATATAAAAATATGTTGTTAACAATCTACCTGCTTTTTCTCCGTGTTTTCTCTTGAAAACTTTACTGTTTGGCTACTAAAAATGAAGACGATTCAACAAGCGATTCACCGAGGATTGCTGGCTCATCCGCTCGGACTTGTCACGAAATGACGTTTCCACCAAGAGAGCAGGAAGTCGTCCCAGGGACACAGCGCCAGCGGCGTATCATCGGCTCAACGCCGACAAAGAAGATGCTCATCTTGTTCGTACTAATGATATGCGGCCGATTCGACGCGGCCAAAACTGCCTGTTTCGTATCTGCGTAAACGCGCGACGTTGGGATATCCCGGAACGCGGACGTATATAAAGACTGCCTGGTCGATTTTCTCGTCATCATTTGGCACCGGACACTCTTGGCGGTACGATCAGCATCGGCAGAATGTCGAGACTCGCGATCCTCTTGCCCGTTGCGCTGTTCGTTGCGATTACAGTCGCGTTACCGGCGGCTCCACCGGAATCCCAAGGTAAAAAACAAACATAGCTGGTAATCGTGAAAATATCACAGGAATTGGAATTTTGATTATTATAGATTAGAATTATTATCGAAATAATATAGTATTATTATTTCATTGGGTTTGTGTCAAAATTGCAAAATAACTGGAAATTTTAATGAAAAATGTTTCGTGTAAACTCGGAGGCTTTAAAAAAAAGAAAATTTATTTACGAAACATAATAGTGCATTGCACTGATTTATACGTCGCATCTCTTTTCAATTTCAATTTCGTCTGGATTAATTTTAATAAATAATGCGCACGGTGTTTTATTGATATATGTCTCGATTAAACAGGAAAGAAAGAATCAGATTATTTACTTTTTATGACGATGATATTTCGAATGTTTCATGATTAATTGCACTTGATAGAAATACACACATAGTAAATACATACAAAATTTGTATAAAATATAATTAGAACTTTTGATAAGAATGTTGATAAATATATCGAATCAATAAGCACATTATTATCATTAAATAACACTTTTTAGTTTATTTTCAAGATGTCTTGAAAATAAATTAAAAATTAAGTCAAAGTTTATAATCAAAATTGCTTGAATTAATTAAGTCAAAGTTTATAATCAAAATTGCTTATTCAGATCTTCAAAGAGTAATAAGAGCAGCCGCACCGGAACCTGCACGTCTTAAACGTCAATACGGCGGTGGTTACGGCGGTGGTTTCGGCGGTGGTTACGGTGGTGGTTTCGGCGGCCCATCGCGTTATCCGGGTTTCATCGGAGGGCACCGAGGATTCGGAGGTGGTTGCAGATCACATGGAGGACCATGCGGCGGCGGTCCATCGCATTATCCAGGTCTCATCGGAGGTTCCTTCGCCAATAGTGGAGCCAATGCCGGTTCGATAAACACACCCTTCGGCGGTGGTTCCTTTTCCTCCTCGTTTGCTAATGCTGGGTAAATATTGTGAATTAATTATTTCGAATTTCTGAGAGGTTAAAACTTGTTAAAAAAAAATCCCATGTCTTTTCAACATCTTAAAATATCGTTATTAATCCGTGACATTAGTCCGCCATTTTTCCATCGATTAGCATCATTACGTTGATCATTTCTTTTATCATTTTCTAATTCTGACATCATTTTGATATATGTTTGGATAGTATGCGATTTATATGCGATAATGTGTTTTGATTGCAGTTCCCGTTATGGACGATGAACGACTTAACGAAAAAGGCTTCGCTGTCATCGAAGGTTGAGAATGGACTCACGTGACAATAAATTAATTGTACTTGTGAACTTACTATATACATATAAACGCTAATATTTTTACATAAAATAAATTTATTTAAAAAAAGGAATATTTGGTTGTTTAATTTATTTCATGATCTTTTAATGTATCATTATTTAATCATAAAATTACTTCACAAGAAGTTAAAGAAATGGTATAAAAATAAAAGGATATAAATGTATTTTAATATTAAAATTATATAATTTGCGCAATTTTTCACATCTTATTATTTCTTTGTAGAACTTAAAATTATGTATTTATGTCATATATATTGAAAATTCGTATAATTTCTGCGTGATATAACAATACATTTTCAGGAGTGTATTCACAATATCTATGAATGTATTATTTCTCAGAATATATTCAGTATATCAATTTGAGTAATCATTTCTCGTGTCTTCTCAAAATGTACTCAGAATTTACCACACGGTAAATCATTTCTCACGTGTAAATTAAACTTGTCACAATATTTTAGAATCTGTAAACGTTTTACAATTAAAACCAAAAGTAAGAATAAAATTTCGACTCAGAAACATTTTATACTTTAGGATTATTCTACAATTCTATACTGATATTTAAACAACATATTATGTTACCGCAGTGATATATAATCTACAATTATATATATCTAATTGCAAAATAATCGTGCAAACCTATGCATCTGAGTCACTTCGCGCACTTTCGATGCACAACGACATGTTCGTTTATTTCTCGCCGGATGTTTCTGTCAAATGTTTTGGGAAACGTCGCTTACACAAGTGCCTTTGTTCACATACTCGATACGTATAAAACGACTTCGTCTATTAGACGATCTTATTAGAGTTTCACTTAGCGAAGCACGAGTAACCGGGGGAGATGAAGATGAAGTTCTTCGTAATTATATTATTCGCCTGCTTCACGATTGGAGTAAGTTCCTGAAGATTAATTTTTCCGAAAGGTGTGACTTTGATTTTTCAATTACTTGAAAATTAAAGCTCCCCTTCATTATGTACTTAATCTAAGTTTGATAGATTGAACATAAAACATCGTGTGATGAAATAAAATTTTTGCTTTCAGGCGCATTGCCGCTCGTTCACGTTTTCGAATGTGAGAGATGCAGGTAGGATTTTTTTAGTGTTTTATGTTTGCGTCATATCAGAAATCAAACACTCATACATGTATTATACAGGGTGTTTCGCGAGGCTTCTGTCACCGCTCGTAAAGAAATAAATGGGACCGAGATGAACATAAAAGTCCCATACCATTTTGTGCTATTCGCAATAATAATCGAGATATTAATTATTAAAAATCACCGTATTAGTCCGACTTATCGGCAAAGCGCACGGTAAGATACTGATACCTGGCGATCATCATTGATAAGCGCGTGAGGAATTGTTTACTTCAAGCGGCTCGTGCGTAGCTATTGCCGTTTGAAATAAACAATTCCTCACGCGCCTGTCAACAATGATCGCCGGGCGGAAGTGCCTTACCGCGTGTTTGCTTTGGGTCGGTTATTTTTTAATAATTAATATCTCGATTATTATTTGCGAATATCACAAAATGGTACGGGACTTTTATGTTCATCTTGGTCCCATCTATTTTTTTACGAGCGGTGGCAGAAGTCTCGCGGAACACCCTGTATATAAAATATTTGTTTATCCATAATTCGTTAGATTAAAAAATACAACTTGCACAAAAGTCAAAACGTACGCCTACTATTGAAATATATCAAATCAGAATGCATTATTATCAAACCAAGTAGAAAGTGTTGTGTCAAGTAATTCTTTAAATTTAACAGACGAGAAGATTTCCATAAACACACCGGAGCAATTAAAAGAGTTAATTACATGGTACGAAGAAAATTTCGCGAAGCTCGTAAAATTTGCCATAAAAATAAGCAAGAATAAGGATAATAATAAACAAGAGGTATAATAATACGTTGCGACGTAATTAAGTAATATATGTATACAAATTAATTACATTGATGTTAATTAATGCGCAGGTCTGTTAGTTTGAACTAAATAAAGTGTTACATTTTAGATACAATTTTTAAATCAGCTGAGCTCTCTTATCGAACAACTTGTCCAAGAGCAATTTAAAGAGAGAGGTATGTATGCTAAGCTCGACAACGATACAGATTCTATTATACAAGCAACAAATAACAATCCGACAGTAAAAAATTTTGACAACGTCAAAGATTTAATTAATACTATGAAGGAAATTGATATTGTTTATCAAGATGGAGAAATTACTGATGAGCACATTCGAATCAGTAAGTAATCATTTTTTAAATGTGTTCTTATATCGAGAAATGATATTAACATTAATAAATCCGATTATTTAAATAAAATATAAATTATACAAAGAGTTATGTTATACATGTAAATTCTATATAAATTCTATAAAAAATTAATTAATACTTTAAAATTGACTGCAGAACGAGCTGCTGAAGGATACAAAAAAACCGCAACATCAGAAGAACGGATGACTAATACGTTACTTGATATTCAACGTCAAGTGGTGCAAATTCGAAAATATTTAGACAAGTTGTGCAAGTAAGATCATCATAAAAGCAATTATAAGAAATGCAGACTACGTCACTAACGTGTTAGCTAATTAGTGGTTAATTTTGACATTTTAGAAAACATCATTCAACGTCGACGACTATTTTAGAAGAAAACTCCGATGACGACATCTTCCCCGTTGATCAGTTGAACAACGTACCAATTGTATAAAACTATACTAAAATATACTAAAAAAGAATTAATACGTATCATTATATTAAAGTTCTGATAAAATATATATGAATATGAATGAAATTTTAATATTTAATCTTTTTATAACATGCTTGAAAGTTATAAGAACTGGACTATGGATCTACTATGGTATTTTAATAAATATGTTTAAATGTCATGCTTTTATAAAAATATAAATGTTACATCTAAAATATATAAATACTACTAAATAATGAAATAAATAAATATACAATTATATTAAAATAATTAAAAAGTATGTATTATTCATGTTGTTTAATTTTTAATAATTTTGCAAATAATTCTTTTGCAGCAGTTTGTCTTGTCTGCTGTACGTTAAATATTTATGCATCTACGATATATCATCCGTCCAATCTGTTGCTGGATATCGCGTTAAAATGTTTTTCAACTTCGCTATTTGATACGTTTGATCGATAAAAAGTAGTCGTCGCTGACGACGAAACCCTTGTCACGACGAAGCAGTTCTTTGTCGTTAATCGGTAAGTTTTTTCCAGATTTAATCGAACCTACCAATCGTATTAAACGCATATCAACAAGAGGCAGTGAATCTTTTTAAGTAGTCTCCAGTTACATTTCAACACATCGAACCATTTTCGCACAATAAAGAAGATGACGGTGACCAAAAGTCACTCGCAAGAACCACTTTCGCGCTTTCAACTGCACAATGCGCTTTATTAATATATTTTTAGAAATAATATTTTTTAAATAATCAAGCGCACAGTTATCACTGACAATTATTTGTCATCATTACTGCTGTGCTTCTATTCAGAAATTGAATTTTTTCAAGCTTAATTAGCTTAATTAAGAATGTAAAAAAGTTAATTTTTATTTTTTATTAATATCTATAATTTGAGATAATAAGATAAAAAAAAGTCTCATCTCTTAACACTTTCTTATATAATATAATTTATAATTCCATAAAATTCTATCTGCAAAATCGACAATTATGTCAAGAACTGCCAGGTAATATGTTTTTAAATCAATATATGTAGATTAAAGCGAAACTCACATGCATGCTACGTCAATCGCGAGTTAGAAGTTAGAGAAGTTAAATTGAGAATCCATAGATACGGAGAATCCATAGAACACACGTGTCGATCATTATCGCAGCACGATCTAATTTGGTCTTCTATCGTAGTCTTCGTTCTATATCACTTCGAGTCACTCTAAAATTCCATTCGCTGGCATCGTTCCGTTAAATTCATGTGTAATTAAAATGCATTTAATTCATATAGAATAAAGCATAAAGGAGCGTAAACCTTTCAAAGATTTCTTCAATTTTTCGTGTCCTACTTTGTGCACGCTGCGTGCCCAACTTAAACAAATTCTAAATAAATGCACAAGTTGGCTTGATTTAGACAGTTCGTAGCACGAGTTGTAGTCACTATCTAATGAGAAAAGTTTCTACATGTTATCTCGCAAAACGACTACGAGACATGAACTTTTTAATCTCTCAATGTAGCGCTTCAACATATACAGTAAAGGATAATACAATATTTATAATATAAAGCGCAAGTCATCACTTATGAACTTTGTGTTATAACATTCAGTCATTTTTCCTTCTAAATTGCAAATTGCATTCTCTACGCACGCAGCCTGTGTTACGCGCGCATAAGTGTACGATTTAAATTCATTGGAATATTATGCTATGCGAAAATGCTAGCGAAATCGACAAGCCAACTAACAAGGGAATTACGCAAATGTGGTCGTAAATAATAATAACTCGGTTGCGTGAGACAGAGGCAATCTTTTGACGAACAACGATTGGCTGTTTGCAATTTTCGGATATGAAAAAAGAATGGCTATCCTCCTCCTCCTCCTCCTCCTCCTCCTCCTCTTCGTGAATTTATTTCTTATCGATTAATTGACTCGATTGCCTATATCGGTCCGTGGTAACGGTTTCTATTTTCATTTCCTTTTTTCCCATTTCTAAGTTCTAAATTTGCATTTTTATTACAATCATGATTATTCCATTCATGATTATTCCACACGTGCAACATTTCTGCGGTAGAAAAGAAACTTTAGCAAAATGATTGCCTATGTGAATAGTCAGTATAATTTAAATCCATAATAATAGTAACTTGAAGATTATTCTATTACTCTATTCTATTATTCTATTACTTTTATGAAACATGTTCCTTTTTCAACTTCTAACTAAATATATTACGCTTGAATTTTACATTCAAATTTTTTGTAATGTTATTTGCGTAAAAAATATTGTCAAAAACATTGTTTTTAATTTTGTAGAAAGAGAATGAGAAGTTAAAATTGTTCAAATAATTTTGTATTGAATAACGTTAACGTATAATAATTTTGTAATAATATATATTTGTATAATTTGTAATGTACGATAATTTTGTTTTGAATAATATTAACACAAACACCTAAATTAAAATTTGTCTATCAGTTCGGGAGTTTCAGTCATTGAACCGAGATGTCTGAACGAAGCGTCACGCCGACTGGAGGGGCTCAACCAGGCGTCGGCGCCGACGCCGAGCGTCGGGCGGGCATAAGCGTTCGTGCCGGCCCGACGCTCATGAAAAGCGTCTCTATATTCCTGACGAGCGGTCGCAAGGCATCAGCAAAGCGGCAGATCCCCGCCGCTTCCGGCAAGGGCGAGTCGTCGAGGAGGAGACGTCGTAAAAGAATGCCGGAGGGCGGAGGTGCCAGGAATTCCGCGTACATCGTCAAAGTCATCGAGTCTCTTAAAAAAAAGACGAGATTCTCCAGGCGAGTCCGTAGGGACGCCGTCGATTGTCCTTAATTATAATTTTCTAGTGTTTCATTTTGTTACTTTTGTTAAAAGAGAATAAATAAAGTTAAATAAAACTTTAATCAATCAAGATAAGGGATGTAGATAAGTAAAATTAATAAAATTAGATTAATAATGTAAAAAAATTAATAACATTAGATAATTTGCAAAAATGCGTTTTAAAATGTTCTGTTGTAAATAACATAACAATTTAATGGCATAAATGTATATAAGTCGAGAAATAAAAACGTTATCTACGTTTTATTACGCGGGGAATTATTCGACTATTGTTTGATTTGGAAATTAATTTGCTTTTATTAGGGTGGAACTGGATAATCTCTGCAAACTTTATAAGAAATTAACTACCAATTCCGGTCAACAACAAGTTGGGTCTATCGGCAGGAGGCCACAATCGAGGCCGGCCGTCGAGGTAATTATATTCGCAATTAAAAATTTATTAGACAAATAAAAAAATGGAAAAAAATATGTAGATTATTAATTAATATATATATATATATATTGCATTAAAAATATTTGAAACTTATGTTGCTCGACAGAAAATCGACAGGACTATTTTTCGAGAACTTCTTCACAACACGTTTCACGTGATCACGGAGGACATTTTAGTGGAGCGTTTATTCTGCTGTTGGGATCGAGAAATTGAGGGTGCCATCAGACTCGAGCCGTGGATTATGGGGCTCGACGTGTTCCTGCGGGGTAGTTTGCGTGACAAGATCTCTTTCTGCTTTCACGTATACGATTTAAACAATGACGGATACATCACAAAAGACGAAATTTTTCAGTTGCTCAAGTAAAAAGCAATTAAAATTTTTTTTATCATAATGTCTATTATGACGTAAAAATCTGTCTTATTCGTAATTGCAAAACTACTTTTTCAATTTTGTAGAAATTGCCTGATAAAGCAACCAGGTGAGGAGGATCCGGATGAAGGGGTGAAAGATTTGTCGGAGTTGGCCTTGAAGAAACTCGATGTCGATCACGATGGAAAAATATCGTTTCGAGATTACGAAATGGCGGTCAAAGAGGAACCGCTATTACTAGAAGCGTTCGGACAGTGTTTGCCTACTGAGGAAAGTTGCGCAGCTTTTCTGGCGACTCTTCAATCCTAAAAAAAATCTACAAAATTAGATTAAATAGCTGTGTTCCTATACAAGTGTTTTGTTGCAAAAATTTTCCCAAACAAACTTCTTTCAATAAGAGACATTGTTGAGAATTGATTAGTTACATAATATATAAAAAAAAAAATATCCATGCTCCGATTCTTTCTTGAAAACTTCTCACCACGTCATATCACTTATCAATAAGTGCAATTGCGATGGAAATAGGTTAGTTTGATTGAATGCTTGTATGTGTAATTGAGCAGAAAATACATCAATTGCTATAACGTGACATTGAAGTAATTATTAAATCCACTACGCTCTTCTCGAGGGCTTGTTTTCGTAGTTAATGATCGATGGAGAACAGACAGCTGACCTGTCGATCGCGATATGTTATCAAAAGTATGGTGTAACATTATAATCATTGGGATATTGATTCCTTAATTGAAATTGACGATTGATAATTCTTCCAAGTTCTTCGCGTTTTCTGTATATAAAATTAGCATTTACTTGCGATAAATATTCAACTTTAACATTCAACTCCAATTGAACAATATAGATTTCACATCACATTTTAGTTTTATTGTTTAAATATGAAATTATATCAGAAATTTTTGCCAATATTAAAAAATTATACAAATATTGAATATCCTATTTTTACAAACGTTTACAACTAAATAATAATTGTTGCCAAAATGTACAATATAATTAATATAATTTATTCTTCTCTTAATTCTTTTAATTCCTAAGGATTATAAAATTATGTTTTCTATAATTACTACATGTAAAAATAATTGGTCATTTTAATTAATGAATGTTTAATGAATCACGATGTGTGAATAACAGGAAGAAACAGTCGTAAGAGAATTAAACAATTGATAAACAACAAATCTTGGCATTAAATCCGATATGAACCGTAGATGAAAACGTGATGCAATGACAACAGTCGTTAAAATCGGACGACATCGAAATGTTCAATATTAATTTTATAGCCATATTTAAAGCAGTTGCATTTATATCGTCAGGGCAAATAGTAAAATGTGGTCGAACAGCTTCGTTTTGATCGTTATTAACGTACTGATCTTTTGGGTAAAATAAATTTTATTTAAACAGTATATTTAAAGCTTTTTTTTAGAAACTTTAAAATAAAATTGATGTAAGTGTAATCGAGAAAAGGAAGGAAACATCTTTTATTTTAATAATATAAAATATAAAGTTCTAGTATTATATTAGAGTTCTTTTGTGTAAAATTTTTGATATTTCTATTTAAATTTAACACACAAGTAGTAAAAAAAATTATTAAAATAATAATATTAATAATAATAATGGCAAAGGATACAAGGAACGATGATGTAGATCTTCTGAAGTTTCCAAATAAATAATACACATCTTCATTCTTTGGTCTTGTTGTTTCTAAACGTATACTCATCTTGCGAGTTAAATTTTTTCTTTTTATTAGGTACATTCTTTGCCACCAAATATTGATTGGAATGCTTTGCGTAATGATCCAGATTCAATAGCCCAAAATGAGAAAATTTTACAGCTTTTTTTGCAACTGGCGATGCGGACGGCGAATCGTTTAACGCGTTTGAAAAAGGAAATCGAGAAAAAAGATAGTTGTAACAAACACAATGATAATCTATCAAGTTCAACAAGTGAGGTTTTCATAACACAACTGCCATTTCAAGAAAATTTAGATCGACTTGATGAGAATCAAGAAATTCAGAATCATTTGTCTTCCGATTTGTCTGGCGATTCTGAAATAAAGGATAACCAAACTTTGTTAGAAAATTCAGATCAAAATCAAACAGCTTCCGATCAACAATTACAAGAGTCGTTTGATTCCAGCACTCAAAATATTAACCGTGATGGAGATATCGCAAGTACTTTGGATTCCAAGACGAGCAACTTAATTCAGGAATCTGTAGAAGATGTCCAAGACACTTTATCGAATGTTACCGGACATAGCAACGAAACCATTAATTTTGACACTTTGCAAACACCAAGTCTTGATTTAAGTACAACGAATAATTCGCTAAATGCAAATGAATCTGGAGCAGATGTACGAGATCTGAAACCAGTGGAGGATGGTATCAGCCAAAGACTGTTTAACCCAATCGAGCTAGGAAAGAATATTGCGGATACATCGGTTATAAATGATTTAACTAAAACTGTGAATGAGTTTTTTCCGGAATTGGAAAAGTTGCAGAAATCACCGCTTGGGATAAATCAGAGCACGGGCCTAATACAATCTGTCCCAAAAATTATTAGTGATGTACAAAAAAATGTGAATCAGCTACATAATATTTCGCAGCTACATAATGCGCTATCAGGAACAATTGACGGCATAAGTTCAAAAATTTTAGATCCGAGTATAATTAAAAATTTTGAAAGCATCTTGAGTCCGCAGATTATGAACAATTTTCCTGTTGTGAATCAGATTTTATCGAGCACAAGAAACTTTGCGGAATTGATGTTTAAAATTTTACCAATGGCTATAAAAACCACAAATAATTTATTGAATCAAATTGTTTCTGAATCTCAGAATATTCATGAGATGTTTAACATAACTGAAGAAAATAATCAAGAAATAAAAACTAGTAATTTACCGACAAATGTAGATAATTCAACAATCGACGATAGCAATAATGTACCGGCATTGTTAAATGATCGAAAAGATTCCTCTATTCCACTCTTTAGGTCGTTTCCGGATTTTAACCAACATGAAAATAACAAGAGTGAAACTGATCTTTCTTTCACTCAGACAGATGAAAACGCCAATAGATTTATCGATAAAAAATTATTAATAAAAAGTAACGAAACGGATCACCATGCAGGTCAAATTGATGAAGAAATAAGAGATGAAGAATTTAAGAAGATAAACGAAACAGAAACAGATGACAGAGACAAACAATTAAATACATTTTCCGAAAACTTATCTAATAAAAACGGAGAAAATGAATTGAAAGAGATTGCGACATCACCGAATCAATTAGAATCCGCATTAATTCCAATTACGGAAGTCAAGAGTTCGAACGATACGCAAGATTTACAAAATTCTGAAAATGTGAACGATACTGTAAAATCTAATGTGAACGAAACAAGAAGACCTCAAGAAGATTTACTTTCTAACAGTGAGAGAAATCAAATTTCTCACATCATAAATAATTTATCAGAATTGAGCGATTATCGTACTGTCATTGATAATTTAAAGAAAGAGAATTTGCATGAGCAGCTGTCTGAAGCAAAATTGCAAGAGATCGATGTTCGATTAATCAATGCACTATGGCCGATTATAGAGAAGAGAATGAGTGGTAACGCAAGTTATGTGACCGATTATTATAACGAACAAAAGAATAAAAATTTTCCATCAAACATATCGTCTGATTCTCGGCAAACAATTGACGACCAAGGCTCAAATCACATAGTAAGTACACAAATCTAGAATTATGAGTTAAATGTCGGGTAAATATATCAAATAACAAAATAGAGAAGTAGAACTACTTAATAAATATGTCAGTTCAAAAAATGGTAAAAATTGTAAGTTTGAAACAGAAATTTGTAAAAAATTGTTCTTAACAACTGCGCACTACATATCAAGAAATTGTTTCTTATAAAATTAATTTTACTGTAGTCGCGTCAAAAATCAATTAGTCATGAATAATAAGCCAGAACATATTTATCTTTTCGTTTTGATTAGTTTTCATAAGATACGATCAAACTGACTAAAATATATTTAGATCTATAAATTAGATATTAGTATATCTAATTTATTAGTATTACTAATTATAAATATCTATTACTATCTATTCTATAAGTAATCTAATAAATTAGATAAATTTTTATAAAGAGATTTTAAAGAGATAATTTTAAAACTTTATTTATATATTATTTATATATTATTTTATTTATGTTATTTATATTTAATATATCTCATATGATGATATTTTGTATAATAATATTTAATAATTAATAATTTATGTTATTAATAATTAATGTTGTTAATTATTTTTTGTAATAAACAAATTTGTCTAGAAAAATCAAGTTGATGGTCAAGTTGTGAATTCAACTCTACGATTCTCTGATGATCAAGATTACAGTCGAAGAGAAACTACCAGTGCTAGAAGATAATTATTACATCATACTTTATACTTACTTACAAGTTGAAGTCTTACAAGTGTCAAAAGATAGAAATTAATAAAAAAATAAAAAATATCACCTCTAATTACGCACAGACAAAAGAGGCAGAAGTAAAGATCGAAGAAAACAATGGTCACCTGCGTAAGAATCATAGCCCGTTACCTTCGTTACGTTTCCAATTTCTAACGCTAATTTATAAGAAAATAATCACAATTGATAGTATCAAATATAAAAATAACGAGGATCGAGACAAAAATTCAATAAAGACCGTGTTAATTTTGCGATTCTCATGGCGCGAATTAGCGTAACAACGTTGAATGCACGAGAAGTTAATGGCCTTTACAATTCAAATGTGCGTTTCGTGAAAGTCCCTTGGAATTACGTTGCCCGATCGTTGGCATCGGTATCGCGTGCGTTTGCAAACTGATTGCCTATAAACGGATGGCCCGAACTTATCACACCAAACGATTGTAAATTATATCGCGCGAATTAAACGACGGGGATTTAATTTTCACAAGTCTCGATATCGCGCCGTTGCATTGCGTGAGAGATCCACGGGCTCGCCGGGTTATCGCATATAAAAAGTCGGTTTATAGTATATGCATTCGCCGTTTCTGAGACGCACTGAGCTAACAATACATTACATTACGTCTACGACAATTACACCTGTGACAATTACGTTATGAGATACTTGCGAATATTGTGCGCCATCCTGGCGGTGGCCAGCGCCCAAGTAAGGACAGCAAAATAAGAAGATAAGAAAGCGATTAACGATAATGACAATAATAATAATAATAATAATAATGCAATATTGATAGCTTCATAAGCTATTATTTTCTTTGATATAAACTATTTTTATAATAATTTTCTTTAGTTATTCTGTAATGAGCGATATAACGCTTATACGAGTTTCATGATACTATAATTTTTAAATCTTTTCAGTTACATTCGGATGAACTATTCTCGCAAGAAGAAGAGGTAAGAAGACTAAAAAAAAACAATAAAAGATCTAATTTTTGTTGCAATTGACTTAATTAAAAATGGTATGCATAATAATTCTTAAAAAAAA